CCCCTTTGCGTTTTTATATCATAACGACAACGTCAAAAACGTCAAGCTAAGACAACCACTCTTCTCCACTACAATAGATGGCCATCTCGGACAATGTCGACCGTATTTACAATGTTCCCACACTCGGGGTGCAGCTAGCCAGAGAGAAGTGAAGCAGCTATAATGACTGTCGTCTTTGTGACAATATTTTGCTTTCCCCCGGTCACCCCCACGGTGGCGGTAGGCAGGATTTGTCCCCCCCTGTCGCCTCGCCTTGTACCGTTTTGTGTCTTGTGCCAAGATGCCTTAATAGGCACCGCGTGGGGCTCAGGGGGGAAAGAATGCAGAACTTGTGTTTTATCATAATAATAATCAACACTGTACCGAAACGACAACGAAACCGAGACGAAAACAATACGAAACAAACTGTGACGGCTACAGCTTATACTCTGAATTCTTCATATACAAAGAGCTGCAAAACTAAACCTAGTTCTCTGCTATAGCTAACTGAGAAAAGGATTTCTGTTGTAGGCATGTTAGAAGTGTCACCTTTGTTGGGACTTATCACAACTACCCTTATATCATAATCACTGTCATCTTCATCATCAATTTTACGACAACCATCATCATAATCGTCGCCACCCCCATCATCATGATCATCACCACCACCATCACCATAATCACCACCACTACCGTTATCATCATAATCATCATCATCATCGGTTGGCATCATCATAACCTGCACATTGGAACAAACAAGATAAAAAGGGGGGGGGGGGGCGTAGCTGAAGAAAGGAATGTTGTGAAAGTGTTTCCGTCAGTTGTGAATAGCACGAACAAAAGAAACCTTGGTATTATATCACATACTAACCTCGCCCCTCCCCCACCCCCTCTCTCTCTCTCTCTCTCTCTCTCTCTCTCTCTCTCTCTCACTCTCTCTCTCTCTCTCTCCCCACCCCTCTCTCTCCACTCTTTCCCCTCGCCAGCACCCACGGCTTCCCCCGATATGAGAAATTGTCCCTCATCTCAGACAAGCCGAACAACATCGACCCACGCGCCTTGACAGACTTCAACCGTCGCTACAACGTGCCTTACCGGGTGAGTATCACAGACAACACACACACACACATACTCACACACACACACAAACACACACACACATACACACACAC